GTAGTTCTAGTAGTACTAGTAGTACTGGTAGTACTAGTAGTACTAGTAGTACTAGTAGTAGTGGTAATGTTATACGGTCATAGAAGTGGTCGTAGCAATAGGAATACTAGGTGTAGTTAAAATATTGGAAGTAGTGGAATAGTAGTAGCAACAGCAGGAGTAGCAGAAGTATTAAGAGTTGCAGTAGCAGTAGCAGTTGCAGTAGCAGTAGTAGTAAAAGTATTAAGAATAGCAATAGCAGTAGCAGTAGTAGCAGCAGTAGTAATAGTAGGAGAAGTAGTGACAGTAGTAGTCGTAGTAGTAGCAGTAGTAAAAAGTAGGACTAGTACTCGTTGAGTAGTAGTAGTAGTAGTAGTAGTAGTAATAGTAGTAGTAGCAGTAGTAGTAGTAGTAGAAAATTATTATTATTATAAGCAGGAGTGGCAAAAGTTTTCCGTGTAGCAGTGTGGAAACAAAAGCAGTAGAAGTAGCGGTAGACGTAGTAGCGGTAGAAGTAGAAGTAGAAGTAGCTGTAGCTGTAGCAGTAAAAGTAGCAGAAGAAGTCGTAATACTGGTGAAATGAGCAACCGGATGGGCAGGAGTAGCAGAAGTATTGGGAGTAGAAGCAGCAGTAACAGTAGCAGTAGTAGTAGGTGTAGTAGTAGTGGTACTAAAAGTAAAAGTAGTAGTAATAGTAGTGTAGTAGTAGAAAAAGTAGTAGTAGAAGTAGTAGTAATAGTAGAAGTAGTAGAAGTAGTAGAAGTAGTAGAAGTAGTAGAAGTAGTAGAAGTAGTAGAAGTAGTAGAAGTAGTGGAAGTCGTAGAAGTAGTAGAGGTAGTGGAAGTAGTGATAGTGATAGTGGCAGAGGAGGCAGCAGGATTAGTGGTGGTAGTAGCAGTAGTAGTAATACTACTACGACTACTAGTAGTAGCAAAAGTATTAGTAAAACTAGTCCAGAACTAGAAGTAGTAGAAGTCTTAGAAGAAGGCAATAGTAATAATAGTAGTACTAATAGGAGAAGCAGTGGCAGAAGCAGTTGCAGCAGTAGTTGTTCTAGCCGGAGTAGCATCAGTATTAGTAGAAGTAGTAGGCTAAGCGTAATAGATAAACTAGAACAATCAAACAAGTATAGTCATAGTGGTGGTAGTCGTCGTAGTAGTAGCACGAGAAGAAGTAGAAGTACAAGTAGGAGTAAAAGTAGCAGCAACAGTAGCAGTAGCAGTAGCAGTCGCAGTCGCAGTCGCAGTAGCAGTAGCAGTAGCAGTAGTGGTAGTAGTAGTAGTAATAATAATAATAATAGTAGTAGTAATGGTGGTGGTGGTAGTAGTAGTACTGGTAGTAGTAGTACTACGAGGGATAGGAATAGGGATAGAGATGGCAGTGGGGGTAGGAGAGGAGCAAGAGCAGTAGTATAAGAGGAGGAGCAGGAGAGGGAATAGAATAGGAGTAGCAGTAGGAGTAACTGTAGCAGCAGCAACAGTAGTGGTGGTAGCAGTAGCGGTAGCAGTAGTAAAAGTAGTAGCAGCAGTAGCAGTAGTAGTAGAAGTAACAGTAGCAGTAGTAGTAGAAGTAACAGTAGTAGAAGTAGTGTTAGTAGTATTAGTAGTATTAGTAGTATTAGTAGTATTAGTAGTAGTAGTAGTAGGAGTAGCAGTAGAAGTAGCAGTAGTAGTACTAGTACTAGTACTAGTAGTAGCAGCAGTAGTAGTAGTAGTAGGAGTAGTAGTAGCAGTAGTACGAGTAGTAGGAGCAGTAGTAGTAGTACTAGGAGTAGTAGTAGAAGTAGTAGTAGTAGTAGTATCAGTAGTAGTATCAGCAGTAGTATCAGTAGTAGTTGTTGCAGAAGAAGTAGTAGTAGTAGTAGCAGTAATAGTAGTAGTAGTAGTAGTAGTAGTAGTAGTAGAAGTAGTAGAAGAAGTAGCAGTAGCAGTAGCAGTAGCAGTAGCAGTAGCAGTAGCAGTAGTAGTAGCAGCAATAGTAGCAGTAATAGCAGCATTAATAGTAGCAGTATTAGTAGCATTGGTAGTAGAAGAAGAAGCAGAAGAAGTAGCAGCAGTAGCAGCAGTAGTAGCAGCAGTAGCAGCAGTAGTAGTAGTAGTAGTAGAAGTAGCAGTATCAGTATAGTAGAAGGAGTATTAATAGTAGTAGTAGTAGTAGTAGCAGTAGTAGCAAATATATACACTGTGGAGGGGGCTGCTTCTTAGAAGGTTGGGGTCTTCTAAGTGCCTCTAAGTTGTCTCGGGGGCATGCCCCCAGCGATCCACCAGAACCGCGTCCCCCTAGGTTGGGCCCTGATCATTGGCTGAAGGCTCCATTGAACCCAACACTGTCGACACTGGCGGCATTGTCAAGTGAGAACACTGGCAAAAATTGCGCTCCAAACAAATTGGGGTTCACCAAAATGACAAACACTTTTGAATTAAATAATTTGTAAACTTTGGTTCGAGGCAAATCCTTGGCCTTTCTTTTTCACCCTTAGGCAGAAGATCCAAGAAACTCACCCCTCAATGCGGCGTTGCACTGGATCGCAACTCTCCGCGAGATCAACGGGTTTCACCCGTGTCTGTGCGTCGGTCAAGAGTGAACTCTGCCAACCTTCTGCTGAGATGCTCTGTGTCTAATTGGGCCAGTGCTTCACCGAGATTCTTGAAGTATCGAGGACCCTGGAACTGTGGGCGGCGAAGTACCTTTATGCCAACAGCAGTGACTCCAACTGGGTGCCCGACTGGCCAGCCACGATATGCACGATACGACTCGAGTTCTTCGATCACCTCCTCTGAGTCGTCAAAGTGCACCAGCTTGCAAGAGCCTAGATGCGTGATTGATTGAAGTGCTGAAAGTTCTCCACCTTCACGACAGCGTTTCTCTGTGGTGATGATGTGGTCAAACAATCTTGGATACTTCCACGCCAAGCTCTGGACCTGATCTCGGTAAACTGGGCTGCAAGTGTAAGAACACACAAGAACTACCACACCACGATCTTTCAAACCTCGAATGAGCTGTTCGTACTCAGGCAGCAAGGTATATGGAGGCGATGGACGGTCAGTTCCTCGAGAATGACGCTTGACGTCCAACACTTGATGCCAATCCAAGCTCACCACCAACTCTCCACTGAACTTCACTCTTTGTCCCGATGGTGTGATCAGTGTTCCAGCAAAGGCCTGATCCCAAGCTTCCTGCACTGGGCGAGAGGTTGTTCTCCTAATCCCCGATGTCTCAGATGTCACTGCAGTAGGTCGTGCACTTGTTGCGCGAGCTGCAGCTGGACGAATCACCACAGGCCGAACACTGGATGCCTTAGGAACAGCTGGACGAATCACCGGTCGAACACTGGGGGTCTGAGGAACAGCTGGACGAATCACAGGTCTGGCACTGGATGTCTGAGGAACGGCTGGACGAATCACAGGTCGAACACTGGATGTCGATACCAGGGCAGTTGGACGAATCACAGGCCTAACGCTGGATGTCGATACCAGAACAGTTCGAGCACTTGACACTGGATCTGCCCAAACACCTGATGGATCTGTGGTCTCTTCCTCTTCCGACTCCGACGAAATCCAAACAGTTTCTGCAAACTCTGAGTCAGTCTCACCGTCCTGAACGTACGGCTGATATGGATGTCGAAGAAGAGGCCTGTCCCTGTATGGCAAAATGCCACTCTTGCACCGCTGATGCTGATCTTCGGCTTGTTGAAGACGCCTGAGAACAATCTGGTTCCTTCTATCTCGAGTCGAACTGCGCATGAAAGCCTTCCCACCCCTCTTCTCTTTGCGAACCTTCTCAAATCGGTTCACCAAATCCGCAGCTGTTCGGAGTACACTCTCTATGCATCAACTATCAGCGAACACAGACTACTGTTGACGGGGAACAAGGACGTTCAAATGAGTTCAACTCTTTGAGCTGAATATGCACAAATGACGCACTCGTTCCACCACTTTTGGATTGTTTTTATGGATTCTCCTTCTTTATGCTTGGGACTACACTCAAAGATCCCTAAGGAATGTCCGAGGAGCACTGGTTGTTTAACCTACCAAGCAAACTAATACGGAATTGGTCTAATTTGGCCCGGTGTTGCAGTGGATCGCAAACACCCCGGAATGTATCGCTCACTTGAACGTGCGAACACACAATTACAAGGAGTTAATTATTGAAGTTAGGATTATGGAATTCGGATCCTATCCGATGGCAGTGTTGCACTGGATCGCAACTCCCTGCCCAGCACCAAGCAGTCCTTCAACAGAGGCTTAGGCTTTGCTTCACTTGGCGAGACCTGGATTGGTCTGACTGACACGTCTGTGGAACTAACAAACCCTAGACCATTACAACTCGATTACGGATCTATCAGAGAAGTTAATGCCACAGGCGGCGGGGGTGTGGCTACCAAAGGGGCTCAAGCTTTGGGAACCACAAGTATATGGAACTAGCTTATGCGAAGCTGAGGCTGTTGACCAGTTAGTTCAACCACGATACAGCCTTACGTGGGAACTAGTCAAGATGCACCCAAGCACAATGGAGCGCCCTTTTAACAGTGCTTGAGCCAAACAAGTCGGTAACAACCAAAATGGTTTGTACAAACTGGCAAGTCAAGGAATGTATGGTCGTAAACTATGCAATACCCTTAGGATTCGTGTGATTTCGCAACTTACAAGCCTGCAAAAGACAACCGCGATGTTTAATTAGCATCTCCTGCGTTCAGAAAAAATCATGCAAAGAATGCGTGCAATAGCTTGAAGACGATAGAAGACCAGGGACTTCTGTACATTCTCGAATATTTCCAGTGGAACATCCACTACACAAAGCGAGCCACAGCGACAATTCTGAGTCTAAGTCTGGGCTCACTCTACAACCAACCAAAGCATTATCCGCTTCAAGAGCTCTTTCTCCTTACCTGATGGGCCCTAGATGGCCCTAGCAGTATGATGGCCTGACCTTTTTTTGGCGCTACGATTTAATGATTTTCCAGTTGCGACAGTGCGAGCTTTTGCAAGAGCATACATGAGTGCAATGATTGCAAAAATTGCAATGATTGCAAAAATTGCAATGATTGCAGCTTGGGCCTGGACCTTTGTGGTAAAGGTTCCACATCCATACTGCACCTTGGCGCTGGTACTTGTAGAGCCTGTCGTAGACCGGACGGGGAAGCTTCATATTCGCGCCAGAGCAAGGCAGGGAGCATACCTGAGCATCAAAGCAAACAACGGAGTAGACTGAGTAGATATGCCACTTGGTAATCTTGGAAATGTCCTAAAGAAAAGAATTTGTAACATAATACGTATCTATATATATATATATGTATACAATTGTATACATATATTGATTGTAATTTGTAGTCGTTGTAATCTCAGTATCCCAGCAAAAGAGCACAATGTGCTGAAGGCTGAAAGGCGAGCTACCTCCTCAGACACTTCCCAAGTGCCAGTTGCTTCTGGAGGTAGCATACCCGTCCACTGTTCAGCCTCAAGGACTTTGTTGATCTTTGTTGAGTATCTTGCCACTACCTCTACTCACAAATGTCCCATGTCCAAATGATCACATGACACATAACCGTTGCTTAGCACGTTGGGATCTGAAGGTTCCCGCTACATTTCGCACACATTGAAAACCTGGCCTTCGCTGTGTCCCAAAACCATGAATCCTTACACACATATAAATTACAAAACAACAAACATCACCGAAACATACCAGACAGAATAGGACAGGCGTATCCTCTAAAAAAATCTCTCAGGCACTGCAATCACCTTGCCCTCTGTGGCCCCTGCCGACTCAGCTGCGACAATTTGAGCTTCCGGAGCTTCAGGCACTTCGCTAGACGCTGAGACAGATACGGCGGACACCATCTCTGCGGTGTCTGCAGTTGGGCTGTCCGGAATCCTCAGCCAAGAAATATGGGGCAAGACAACATCACAACGACGACAAAAACATATCAACAAGTCGAAACAATGAGTCTTCTCCATGCCGTTCAACTGCTTCGTCAAGTAGTGCTTTTTTCCAGTTCTGCCAAAACTCTCAGCTTTTTCACTCTCCATGTACGCCTTTGGGCTTTCTGTGGCACTGACCTGGCACTGATCATTCAAAAGCTAACAGTAACGAGCCTGAGGAAGCCTAGGATTAAAAGGTTTACTAGGCATCCCGAGGATGAAATCAAGGGTGTTAGTGTAGATACTTGTGTAAATTTATGTAAATTTATTTTGTCCCTGAGCCTGAAGGACATCATCTGCATCATCCTCGTCATTGAAATCTCTGTGCCCATCGGCTCCACAAGGCCTTTGTCGAAAGTGAAGCCCAAAAACTCAGGCACCATGAAAATACGATCAAACTTCAAAAAGTTCATCTTCATCAAGGTTCAATTAACTTTCTGTGCTGCAGGCTCTACAAGCATTGGAGTGTTGTTGCAATCCTCCTCGGTCTACACACAATGTCCCAACCGCGCTGCACATCATTCACTTGTTATCAATTGTTATCAATTATTTAGAAACTATCAACAATTGTTATCCACATTGAGCGAACATCAACAACTTGTCACATCTTGTCACTATGTTTGTGCGGTCCTCGCTCTCGCTTTCAGCTGTGCCTCCAGGACGTTGAAGAATCTGAACTCCTGTTGAAAATGCTTAGAGGTTGCAAGCTCCTCTATGGACAAATCTGCCGACACACACTATCAGGCTTCTTGCTGGCAGTTCAATCATGTTCAATGGCCTTTTGAGGGCATCTCTGCTGCTGTAAAGTCCAGATCTGTTTTTCCTTTTCAGAAAGACTCCTGGGACAAACAAGGCCTGATAATCGGTGATATGCAGTTCTCATGTATAGTATAGTTTGATTACAGCCAGGATGAGGCGGGGACGAAGACTAGCAAAGGTTCAGAGAGAAGTTGGCAGTCAGAAAAGGATGAAGAGTGGTTAATGGAGGTAACGGACTGATGCATGACGAGGCGGAGAGATGAGTGAATGATCCAGTGAAAGCTTCGCTTCCATAAATCGGCACCAAACATAGTACTAGTAGCAACGTATAGAAGTATAGACAGTAGAACCCGACTCACAGAACCCATTGACACAGAAGCAACCCGCAAATAATACGAGCTGCATTTCTGACTCCTTATCACAATGACAACCCGGATTCGTCAGCCACAAACCCCAGACCCCCTAGTCTCGCTTCGTTCGCATCGGACCTGGCCTGTCGGCCGGCTTTCGTACTAAAATTGCTATGACCCCGGTGCTGAGCCCAAGCGGAACTGTTGTACTTTTGTTTTGAAAATGGTGTGCTATGCTATGTCTGCTATGGAGTGAAATGGAATGTCTTCACTAAAAGAAAATGGAATCTGATTTCCTTGCACGTGCCCGAATCGAACGCAAAGTTGTGAAATGTTTCTCATGCAAAACTAACCACCGTATGCTTCCGCAGTATGTACCGTGCGTGCACTGCTCCTGCGCTATGCCGCAAGTCTGAGTCACTTCCGTTGCATTCGTCATCCAGAATTCGCCTAGCTACAGGATCGTGGCCTGCGAAGGAACACGGCTCAATAGCGACGTGCAAAAGAAGACCCTGAGAAAACTTCACCAATTGAAACTAGAGACGATAGAGATATTAAGTTAAGAGAAGTTGCTGACAAGCTTGTAATAGAAGATGAATGGAAAGCCAGAGAGATCAACACTCGCTTTCCGTGGAATGGGAGGTCAAGGGAAAGCTTCAAACATGTGGATCGGCACAGGGCCTCGAACACCAGGATGAGACCCTTCTTCATCACCTTCAGCGTTGCGAGGTACAGGGCTTGTGTTGGTTCTGGATCCACATCCATCCACCACACACTGAGGTACTTTCATTAGGGCTACCAAAGAATGTTAATCGTGACATATCGTGACGTATCGTTACCAAATACATCGGAATACAACTGTGAATGCAATGGCGTGCATCGAGGACAGCACTGCCGGACTCCAGTGCCCTTCTGACAGGGCTCAGTGAGGGCGGAGACCTTGCAGGGACACAGTTTGCAACGACAACGTGTCAAAGAAGACCAGGAGAGGAAGGATGCGAAGGATGCGAAGGATGCGAAGGATGCGAAGGATGCGAAGGATGCGAAGGATGCGAAGGATGCGAAGGATGCGAAGGATGCGAAGGATGCGAAGGATGCGAAGGATGCGAAGGATGCGAAGGCGATAGCAAGGCCCAAATTCAAGAGCGCAAATGCAGCACAAGCATAGAATTCGTAAAGTTGCCTTGAAAATCCTACAATAAATGTGAGGGCTGCAAACTGTGCAAACCACAAGAAAGGCTAGTTGATAGTTTGCAGTTAGCCGTGCAAATGCGCCAAGTCCAAATCAATTCCAATGTGTCAAGTCGCTGCACATCTTCAAATAAGCCTTCAAATGTAGCAACGTGGGTTTCCTGGTATGATGCTTTGGCAAACCATCAAACCTCCATTTAGGAGCGCGACTGGCTTTGGAATGCTGCACAAGCATGTGCAACTGGAGAACAGCCTCAACCAAGCTGAAGTCATTTCTTACAGTGCAACTTGATGCAATTTCCATCTGATTTTCTCGAACTCATTCGCATGTGACGTGAGTCTTCACGACCCTCACGCCGGTTATTCCTGGAAGCTACAGTCACATCCAATTGTCCAGAATGTCCAAGTTTACTGGCACTTGGTACTTGGTACATCTTTCAAGCATGTGGAATGTAACGAGACGCTTGACAGTCTCATCTGAGGACATCACTTGACATTGGCCCTTTGTACGACTCTAACATTAACCCTATCAGCCACAACTGCGGACGAACCCCTGACTTGCTGGAGAAAATGCAAGAAACGAAACTTTGAGACGAATGACAAAGTACAACAAACAGAAATGATGTGAAGTAATTTCTGTCAAGGAGGTAGCCGCAGCTGCATTGATTGTCGTCCTTTTTCCTCTTGGACGCAGTCAATAAGGACTCTCGAGTTGACGAGACCTACAGGGTACCGTCCGTACCGTATCAATCCTTCACTTCTGTGGCATAGTCGCAGTGAACTGAACTGGCCGAGAGGCGGGAGTGTCCTCCAGAGCTGGAATAGAGGAATAGAAAGAAGTAGCGATTGGTGTGCCAGGAATACAAGTACCGTCCGTATATGACCAGTTCTTCAAAAGAATTTGAAAAGGTTTTAACCTCCAAGAAAAGGACACAGCTCCTTGGGGATCTTCGGATACAATTCCTGGCACAATGGAGATCAGTTAAGCTAATCGCGAATCGCTAAGCAAACTCCAAGAGGCTGGCTAGAAAAAGTGGTGAGAGCTACAATCAAACTTATGAAACTGAAACCAAACTCCTCCCGGCACTGGGTCAGCACGTCCAGCATCTTCCGAGCTTCTGGAACAGTCTCCTCTACACTGATTCATATGTGTTTATATACTATACACATCTACACACTGTTACATACTGAAGGAAATTTATCCTCTTCCCAGATTGCCGCGTCTATATCGTGTGCCGAAGAAATTTGCACCGAATCCATTGATGCACTGCTGCAACTGACTAAATGGCAAATGCAAAAAAAAACGAAACCAAACAATCACACACAACTATTCACTTTGCCTCCTCAGGACTGCTGGAATTCAGCAGGTAGTATTGCTGAGCAGCAAAGAAACACCTGGCAAACTATGCAGAATGAAACGTTGTGACGTATCTGACAGTCTTTGTCATAAATGCTGGGTGTTGGTCAATGCTGCGAACGACCTGTATCGGCTGTTTGCACTCCAGTTGTCCGCTGACACCTCTGCAATAGTTGCCTGCCATGCTGCCATGTGTGACTCTCAAGTGAGAACTGGTGAAACAAAAAAACAACAGTGTTGAGTTGTGTGTGTGTGCGCGCGTGTGCTGAGGCGTAGGTGAATTTGTGTATCTTCGGCCCCGTTTGATGCTTTCACAAACGATCCATAGTCTCTTGAGATGGTTATGCTGCACATTGTTGCAGCACACACTTGTTCTCATGAGCACCTTTCCCTCTACAAAGACTGGTTGCTCTCAACTTTGGTGCATACGCTTTGCAAATTGCAGGTATTGTTGACTGTACACAGATACATATACATATGCCTATACCTATACATGTACAAAAACATATATCTATATATATATATACATATATACATATGTACGTATATGTATACGTAAACATAAGCGTATATGTGTACGTATACGTATATACATATACAGATACACACTGCCAAATATATATATACACATACAAAAACATATACATATACAAATAGGTATACGTATGTATATATATATAACTATATATATATAAGTATATATATATAAGTATATATATATAAGTATATATATAAGTATATATATATAAGTATACGTATATACTCATACTCATACACATACACATACACACACCTACACATATACATACACATACATATACACATACACATACACATACACATGCACATACACATACACATCACTATATATATATATATACATACACATACACATACACATACACATACACATGCCCAGCCCCTGGAACCCTCCCCACCCGCCCAATGGTCATGGTCCTCTCCCCCAGCTGTGGCGTGGCTGTGGTTGGAGGCGGTTGGGGGGTGGGTGGGGGCTGGGGGTGGTGGTAGTGATGTACATTGGCAGTCAGCGGGTATCAGGCATGTAGTATTGGGAGTTGTACATAGGCTGAACATATGTATATAGGTTGCATATAGGCAAGCAATGCGAAATATTAGATTGTATAGGCGGCACACTAAGCAATTATACGGTATTAGGTTTACAGTTCCGCTATTAGCAATATGTATATGCATATCTGTACATACTAGTAGATATCTATTTATAGCTTGTATAGAGGCATACGTAATTTATAACCGTATATAATTTACATAATGGGTTACATAGATATTATCATGGGTTTATGGTATCAGGCATTTAGGTATGCCATGGGTAATATGTATAGTATATAGGTTGTATACATATATATATAAGCATGAATCTCTTGAACATGGGCGTGAGTGATCACTCACTTTCATACTGTCTCTCACAAATGAAAATCAGATCTGAAGATAATGAATAATTCAGCTCACGCAGCAACGTAGCAGGGCCTCTTCCTTTTGTTGCTGCTCAAGGCGTGGGGTGAGCAGTTGCAGCAAAATGGTTGGATCCGAAAACTGATCACAGATCTCGCCACTCGAAACGACCACAGGGGGGCTCGACCAAGCCCAAATGAAAATGAGAACTCAAACCACACAGCTTAGTCACAAGGCCTTTCACAGACCTGGATAAAGCCAAGATAGTCAGAGCTACACAGAGCTTAGTCTGAGACCCACCCAGGAGATGGCTTACCAAGCCAGCTGATCATGTCTATCCACCCTAAATTATCCACCCTAAAGAGGTGGGATGGCGAGCTAACAGCCCACCCTGCAACATTCGTCACAGGGCGGGCTGGGCTGGGGCTTTTTAATCAGGTTGCCTGGGTGTGATCTTTCCCTGACTATCTACCTGCCTACCAACCTATCTTCTATGTATCTATCTATCTATCCTATCTATCCTATCTATCCTATCTATCCTATCTATCCTATCTATCCTATCTATCCTATCTATCCTATCTATCCTATCTATCCTATCTATCCTATCTACCCTATCTACCCTATCTATCCTATCTATCCTATCTATCCTATCTATCCTATCTACCCTATCTACCCTATCTACTCTATCTACTCTATCTATCTATCTATCTATCTACCTATCTATCTATCTATCTATCCTATCCTATCCTATCCTATCCTATCCTATCCTATCCATCTATCCTATCCTATCCTATCCTATCCTATCTATCTATCTATCTATCTATCCTACCTATCTATCCTATCCTATCCTATCCTTTCCTGTCCTTTCCTATCCTATCCTATCCTATCCTATCCATCCATCTATCTATCTATCTATCTTATCTATCTATCTATCTATCTATCTATCTATCCTATCCTATCCTATCCTATCCTATCTATCCTATCTATCCTATCTATCTATCTATCTATCTATCTATCCTATCCTATCCTATCCTATCCTATCTATCCATCTATCCTACCCTATCCTATCCTATCCTATCCTATCCTATCTATCTATCTATCTATCTATCTATCCTATCTATCCTATCTATTCTATCTATCTATCTATCTATCTATCTACCTATCCTATCCTATCTATCCTATCCTATCTATCTATCCTATCCTATCTATCTATCCTATCCTATCTATCTATCCTATCTATCCTATCTATCCTATCTATCCTATCTATCCTATCTATCCTATCTATCCTATCTATCCTATCTATCCTATCTACCCTATCTACCCTATCTACCCTATCTATCCTATCTACCCTATCTACCCTATCTATCCTATCTATCCTTTCTATCCTATCTATCCTATTTATCCTATCTATCCTATCTATCCTATCTATCCTATCTATCCTATCTATCCTATCTATCCTATCTATCCTATCTATCCTATCTATCCTATCTTATCTATCCTATCTATCCTATCTATCCATCCTATCTATCCTATCTATCCTATCTATCCTATCTATCCTATCTATCCTATCTATCCTATCTATCCTATCTATCCTATCTATCCTATCTATCCTATCTATCCTATCTATCCTATCTATCCTATCTATCCTATCTACCCTATCTATCCTATCTATCCTATCTACCCTATCTATCCTATCTATCCTATCTATCCTATCTATCCTATCTATCCTATCTATCTATCTATCTATCTATCTATCTATCTATCTATCTATCTATCTATCTATCTATCTATCTATCTATCTATCCTATCTGTCTATCTGTCTATCTGTCTATCTATCTATCTATCCTATCTATCCTATCTATCCTATCTATCCTATCTATCCTATCTATCCTATCTATCCTATCTATCCTATCTATCCTATCTATACCTATCCTACCTATCCTACCTATCCTACCTATCCTACCTATCCTACCTATCCTATCTATCCTATCTATCCTATCTATCCCTATCCTATCTATCCTATCTATCCTATCTATCCTATCTATCCTATCTATCCTATCTATCCTATCTATCCTATCTATCCTATCTATCCTATCTATCCTATCTATCCTATCTATCCTATCTATCCTATCTATCCTATCTATCCTATCTATCCTATCTATCCTATCTATCCTATCTATCCTATCTATCTATCTATCTATCTATCTGTCTATCTGTCTGTCTATCTATCTATCTATCTACCTCTCTATCTGTCTATCTAGCTATCTATCTATCTACCTATCTATCTACCTCTCTATCTGTCTATCTATCTATCTATCTATCTTATCCTATCCTATCCTATCCTATCCTTTCCTGTCCTATCTATCCATCCATCTACCGTGTACTGATACGATCCTCATATTCCTAAATTGAAACACCAACAGGTCCTACCCCTGAACTTCCAAAAGTGGTCCGAACCCCTAGTGTTTTTAACATTTTGACTTCCACATGTGCTTCGCGCCACAACGGCGTGCACTTTTTCGACGTCGCAACTTCCAAAAATCGTCCGACACTGAGGTGCTTTGCACATTTTGACCTCCAAATGTGCTTCGCGCCACAACGGCGTGCACTTTTTCAACATCTCAACTGCCAAAAGTGGTCCGAAGCTGGTGTGTTTTGTACATTTTGAGTTGGAAATGTGCTTCGCGCCACAACGGCGTGCACTTTTTCGTCATCTCAACTTCCAAAAGTGGTCCGACAATGGTGTGTTTTGTGCATTTTGACTTGGAAATGTGCTTCGCGCCACAACGGCGTGCAATTTTTCATCTCTCCTCTGGCCAGCTGGCTCCGCACCCGCCGCTTTAGCGAGCCTTTTTGACCCTCCGGAGCCACAAATCATTGGAAAAACACAGTGAATCGCGACTTTCCTACCTTTTCGCGCATCTCCATCTTCTTTCTTCTTACTCTTTCTCTTCTACTCTTCTCTCTTCTGATCTTTCTCTTCTCTCTGCCTCTTCCCTGCTCTGCTTTTCATCTGTCCATATTGTCGGAAGTTTGACTTCTAAACTTCCTTCAATGATTTGTAGGTAAACATATGGGTAATCTGTTACGGGCCGTTATACATATAAAATATAGCTGCTGTATTTCTCCAAGTTTATCCTGGCATGTTCTGTGTTTCATTTTATCTATCTATCTATCTATATATATATATGATATGATATGATATGATATGAATATTTATATATATGTTATATGCTACTATCCGCGATGGCCATTGTACTGCTTTCTCTGTCTGAGGTATAAACATTTTTTTGCCATGGCCACCTGTTGATGAAATCAAAGACATGGATGGACTTGCATGAAATTACTTCGAATTAGGTT